AATTTAAATATTAATATAAAAAATAACATTACAAGGAATATACTCACCTTTGAGGTTTATTGCTCATAGCAAAAATGAGTTGAACAAAAATTATTAGAGCGTAAATAGGAAACGCAATTGTTAGATCATAAAAGACCAAAGTGTAATTCATTGTTGATGAATAATTGAAAAATATTTGGTATGGTGCATAAAAGGCAAAGAACATGATAAATATATACGATGTTGAAGTGAAAATGCCCTAGAAAATTATAAAATAAAGTTAATATATATATATAAATAATATATAAATAATAATTCATAAATGAACAATTGATAAATAATTAATTTTTGTGATATTTACAGATGCAAACCATAAAAAAAGAAAATTATAAGCCTGATATATAATTTTTGTTTGCAAACAAATCTTATGGAAGATAGTGTGTCCACTTCTCCAGATATAATAAAAATGTGTAATGGCATAAAAGCTAGAAAGGAAATATTTATTTATGTGACGATTTTGTTGTTGAATTAATTCGGGTAAATTTTCAGGCACGCTTATTTCAGCCTGAGCAGATTTTATATAACGTAATTTCCAATGATGATTGTGCCTTGTAACCAAATCAAAATTAAGAGTATGCTCATTAGAGAGACATATATTATCATTGCTTTGAAAGGCATTGTACCGATAAGCAGAAAAACCTTCAGATAAAGATCTAATATAGCCAAAAATTGATTCAAATTGCTTATCTAAAGCATATGACATTTTATAATTGAAACTTTGAGCAGCAACAATTGGGTTTAATAATTTGATCTTGTTTCCGTCTTTTATATCTATATTACCACAAACGCCTGCAACTTCAGAATCTACGGAGAATGCATTCCACAAGGCATAGAGAGATCCATAACCTTTTAAAAAATATAGCATAGACATCAGTATTGTATTAGAATATCAAATAATTCTGCAAATCACATAATACCGGTGAGTAATGACATTTATAATTTAATTTCAAATAAATCTATTCACCAACCTGGTTTAACACCAGCGTCAATAAGAACACATATTTTGGGAACAATGATTGGACAAAATGCACTAAAAAACCATTGAGAAGAATCAACAACCTTTTTGCTCGGTTCAATATGACAAAAAAGCATTTGGACTGGAACGCTTCCCTCTTCTATATTCATTTCAACAGAATTTTTAAATTGTTTAATTGAAATAGGAGTTGTATATTCATATATGTGTGCTTCAACAGCTTTATTGTTGACTTTGGCTTTTGCGATATTATCCTGATAGACTCCAAGAGCAGTAAAATATGCCAAAACAGGTTCACTACGGCCATCAGAAATTATGCATACGACGACCTTTTTCCACCCATCATTACCCTTGCCAAAAAGAAAAGATTGAATTAAAGATAGTTTCTATAATTGCAAGGATAAATAAAACGCATACCCATGTTGGAGAATCTTTGAGAGAACAAAGGTAAACAATATTTTCCATTATTCCGTTAAGAGTATGTGATAATAGAATTTCGTTATCCTATTAACACAAATGCAAAATACCAATTATAGATCATTCATCAGTGATACAACGTTGCTAAAACTTATCTACTTACATCATGCATATTTATCATGATAAACAGTTCAATCTCTCTTTTATATTCTATTTGGCGTAATGTAAAATGGTTTTCCTTAAAAGCTTCTGGTTTGCTTGTGCAGGCTGTATATCTCAAATGTGTGGATTCCTTAGAGACTTTGTGAGAAACATTTCTTAACAGATTTTCTGGTACAGGACAATCTATCACTAAATTTCCATTCAGTAATTCAACAACAAAATCGAGAACTGTTAAATAAATATGTAAAATGTTAAATTTAAATATTAATATAAA